TACGTGTGGCTCAGAAACCAATACACATGTCCATTTAGCACCAAGCACCTACAGAGGGAGGAATTCATTTGCTGACGGTCTGATGACGCTCTCTTGCTCCAAAGACTGCAGAGATCCGGAAGATCAAGGCTGTTTAAGCTTCACCCTTGGTCAGTCACAGGCTCTCCTTCCCCTAAGTGCCTCAGATTCCAGTAAAGCTCCGTGAGAAGCCTCCAGCACCCCTACACACAGAGAGACGCACACAGGAAGCATCAGCCTCTGCTAGACCCTTGCAGCAGTTTCCAGACATGTCCAGTAAAAGGTACTAGGTATCCTGGTAAAGAACTGGGCAGTAAAATGTTCCCTTGTGATACTCACTATCCAAATATGACAGATAACAAATGCAATAAAAGGAAAGACTACTACTACACCTTATCTGATCCACAACAAAGTCAAAAAAAAGTAGACTTGTCAGAACAGACAATACAATTAGATACTCCACATTTTAGACATTCACTGTTCCTGGAGCCTCTACTTTCAGAGAGGGGCTGAGTCTAGCTTCATGATATTGGCAAAATCACATCCCCTCTCTAGCCTCTATTACCTCATAAAGCACTAGATCAAATCCCTAAGTTTGGGAATAGAGGAGTTTACAAAGAAATTCCTATATCAGCTTTCATTAAGACTTACATAGAAAAACATTTTGAAAAAGCCCAACAAAACCACAGCTTCTCCAGAGAAGGTTGAAAGATGCTTTTAAATAAGAAAAACATATGATAACAGAATAAGAAAATTGCTGATTTTTCTTTACTTTTTAACCCTCTGTGATAAGAAATGGTATTTGTAAAATTATACACAACTAGCTGAAGTCTGAGCAGCGCTAAATCCTAACTTAAAATCCTTAGAAATCAGGGTCTCCTCTACAGCTGGGCAGCCCTGAAGGGAAACATTAAGGCTTAAGGGCATCAGTTCTTGCATCTGAAAGACAAAAAGGAAGATAAATTGGTAATTTCCATACTTACCACCATAAAGATTTTACTCCTACAGCTCAAAAGAAATAACTGTACAATGAAATTTAACTTTCTTAAAACACACCCCTGGCCGGGCGTGGTGGCTCACATCTGTAACCCCAGCACTTTGAGAGGCAGAGGCAGGTGGATCACAAGTTCAGAAATTTAAGACCAGTCTGGCCAATATGGTGAAACCCCATCTCTACTAAAAATACAAAAATTAGCTGGGCGTGGTGGCGCGCCTATAGTCCCAGCTGCTGGGGAGGCTGAGGCAGGAGACTTGCTTGAACCCGGAGCCAGAGGTTGCAGTTAGCAGAGACTGCACCACTGCACTCCAGCCTGAGCGACAAAGCAAGACTCCGTCTAAAAAAAAAAGGGGGGGGAGCAGGGTTTTAGAGTAGGGGTGTTTGTTTTTTGAGATGGAGTCTCACTCTGTCACTCAGGCTGGAGTGCAGTGGTGTGATCTCGGCTCACTGCAACTTCCGCCTCCCGGGTTCATGTGATTCTCCTGCCTCAGCCTCACGAACGGCTGGGACTATAGGCGTGCGCCACTATGCCCAGCCAATTTTTGTATTTTTAGTAGAGACAGGGTTTCACCATATTGGCCAGGCTGGTCTCGAACTCCTGACCTCAAGTGATCCACCCGCCTCGGCCTCCCAAAGTGCTGGGATTACAGGCATGAGCCACCGCGCCCGGCCTTCTCCTCCCTTCTTCCAGAAAGCCTTGCCTGGTTTCCATTCCCATTGTTGTATACAGCTAACACTTGGTACTATCTTACTCTGTGACCAATTTAATTTTATATGTCAAAATACTCCTCCATTGTAAGTAACCCAAAGGAAAATGTATTTCCTTTCTTTAAAAAAAGAAATATTCTGAACCTACAAAAAGATGGATAGCATAACATGACAAACAATGACCCAGTCCAAGAAATAAAACACTGCAAAACAACAGGAGAAGCCCTGAGGCAGCCATTCCCAATCACATCCTCCCTCTTCCCATCAGAGGCAACCACCACCTGGAAACCAGGGCTCATCAGCCCCATGAAGCTATTCCCCTCGCAAAAGAGCATACATCCTTATGATCTGTAGTACTGTTTCACGTGATCTTCCTAACCTTTCTATAAGTGGTATCATTCTGAACACAATCAGTCTGTAACTTACTTCTTGTTCAATTTTATTGTTTGTGAGAGTAATCCACATTGACACCTATAGCTCTAGTTCCTTTGTTTACTACTGCATTACTATTTACTATTTTATTGTAAATATTGCATTTACAATATTTACTATTGTTTACTATTCCATTATATGAATACACTACATATTTGGCCAAAGACACAGCTTGATATTTTATATGCCATGTAGTGCCTACTATTTTCCATACTACTATGGAAAATGTGCCAGCCATTTTCCATAACATTCTCCAGAATCCTCACAGCCACCTAATGAGGAAGGTATGATTCCCACTAGACCAAAGAGGAAACTGGAGCAGGGAAGTGTAATTTGTCCAATATGTGTGAGCAGCAGACTCCTGCTTCAAGTTCAAGTCCATCCAAATTTAAAGCCACACTTCTGACAATGAATGTGGCTTGTAACCCTGCTTATGTAGATTCAGATTATTTTTTATTTATTTATTTACTTTTGAGACGGAGTCCGCTCTGTCACCCAGGCTGGAGTGCAGTGGTGCGATCTCTGCTCACTGCAAGCTCCGCCTCACGGGTTCACGCCATTCTCCTGCCTCAGCCTCTCGAGTAGCTGTGACTACAGGCGCCCGCCACCACACCTGGCTAATTTTTTTGTATATTTAATAGAGATGGGGTGTCACCGTGTTAGCCAGGTCTTGATCTCCTGACCTTGTGATCCACCCACCTCGGCCTCCCAAAGTGCTGGGATTACAGGAGATTCAGATTATTTTAATGAAAAAAAACCGATAGAGGGCTCTACAGTCATCTGGGAAAAATGTGAAACATGATGCTCTAGTTTCTTTAACAAACATTCCACAGGAAATTAATCCAACACAGGGACAGCCCGTATGTACACTGAGGAAGAGCCTCTGCCTTTGGCAAAGGTCTCCCACTAGGGTCATTCCCAAGATTATACAGGCACTCTCTAAGTAAGCCTGAGTAGGACTGCAACCTGAGTTGGTTTTCTTTGGGGAAACAGGCTGTCTGCACACACTTACAGACAGGACAGGGGAGCCCAAGAGAACATGGGAATCAGATCCTGCTTGAACTGGCAAAAGCTGAGTCAACAAAGCTCTAAGAACATCTCCAGGGAGCAGCTCCAGCTGTTATCAGCTCTGGGGTCTGAGGAACAGTCATCAGCTCATAAGGCCAGGCGCTTGCCTACTCTGCTCTCCACGTGGCCAACTTTGAGAGCGCTTTCATACATCCCAGCCCAACCCTGTTGTCCTGGAGAAAGCCCAACTTGGGAATACGTAAGAGTGAGAGTGAGGGTGGAGACTGATAGGAACCAGGCAGGGAGCAAAGCCTGGAGAAAGGATACCCAGCTCCAGGCCTGGGCCCAGATCCCTCCAGGTGCTCAAAGCAGGTAGGCTCCTAGGAGGTGACAGTCTAGTCCCCCAGGACTCTCAAGGACAGGGGAGGCCTTTCAGCACCAGGACTCCTGACTCTACTCTCCTGCCTCTACACTGTATCTCTCATTGTGTCTGTCCACTGGAGGATTAAGGGAGCCTCAAAGGAGCAAGTCATAACTGGCTGAAGCGACCCCCTCCCACCTCTCCTGGACAAAGCAAGGAGCAAGAAAACAGGCTCTGCCACCTACTTGTTGTGTCACCTTAGCTGGAGCATTCCTGTCCACTCTGGAGGGAAATGTAGTGGACTGTCTCTAAGGGCCCTGCCATCTCTGACTCTTTCTGTCTACAGTGCTGAATGCACTCTGGCTCACGCCTGGCATCCCAGCACTTTAGGAAGCTGGATGGGGAGAATGGTTTCAGCCCAGGAGTTCGAGACTAGCCTGGGCAACATAGTAAGACCCCGTTTCTTTAAAAAAAAAAAAAAATTAATTAGCCAAGCGTGGGGGCCTGCGCCTGTGGTCTCTGCTACTTGGGAGGCTGAGGTGGGAGGATCGCTTGAGCCCAGGCATAGAGGCTGCATTAGAGCCGAGATTGCACCCCTGCACTCCAGCCTGGACAACAGAACGAGATCCTGTCTCAAAAAGAATAAACAAATAAATAAAAGCACTAACATTTACTGAGCAGTTTAGAGTATAATTCATTTAATCCCAACACCCCATGAGGTAGATACTACTGCTATCCCAGTTTACAGAGGAGGCCGCTGCAGCACAGAGCGGTTCACTGAGGTACCAAGGTTATAGGCAGAGGTCTTTTTTCTTTTTTCATTTGAGACAGAGTCGCTCTGTCCCCCAGGCTGGAGAGCAGTGGCGCATCTTGGCTCACTGCAAGCTCCGCCTCCCGGGTTCACGCCATTCTCCCGCCTCAGTCGCCCAAGTAGCTGGGACTACAGGCGCCCGCCACCATGCCCGGCTAATTTTTTGTATTTTTAGTAGAGACGGGGTTTCACCGTGTTAGCCAGGATGGTCTCGATCTCCTGACCTCGTGATCCACCCGCCTCAGCCTCCCAGAGTGCTAGGATTACAGGCGTTAGCCACAGCGCCCCGCCGGCAGAGTTTTAAAGGAGGCCCCGAGGGTAGAAGCCTACGGTTACAGGCCTGGGAAGGCTGCACGGGACATCCAGGGGATGGTGGGGGTCGGGAGACACCAGAGAGGGGCCCGAGGTTAGGCGCAGAGGGGATAATGGGTCAAGGTGTCTAAGGAAGGAGATGGGGCTGGGTAGCCCCAGCCAGACTGGCCGAAGCCCAGGTAGAGGGGTGAAGATAGGAACGAGGGCGGGATGTGGAGAAGCAGGGAAAGGCAGGCCGACGTGGGCAGGGGCGAGGAGGCCTTGGAGGAAGGAGGGTGGATGGCGCAGGCCCGTGGTCTAGGCAGCGGGCGCCTGCGGAAGCGCAAGGGCGGCTTTGGGGCGCGCGGTCCCACCTTGAGCACCGTGACGGCTCCTGCGCTGTGCACCTGGAAGTGCGCGGGCGGCTCCGCGCCCAGCTCCGCCGCCTCGTCGGGGCCCTGGTAACTAAAGCAGGCGTCTGCGATGTCCAGGTGGCCGAGGGGCAGCGCGTCCTGCGGACTCTTGAAATAGTAGAGGTAGCAGCGGCGCGCGTCGAACACGAACCAGCGGCTGCGGTAGCCGCGCAGGGGGCCTTTGCCCGACAGCTTCTGCAGATAGCCGCACAGCCGCGCTGGCTCCCGCGCGGGACCCGCCCCGGGCTCCGCGGCCGCCCCCTGAGCCGCGCCCTCGCCGCCGCCGCCCTCCTCCGCCCGGGATCCAGCCCCCGGCATAGCTACCGCGCGCCAACGGTAGGAGCCGGAGCCCGCGCCCCACGCCTTCGCGCCACCGCCGCTGCGCCCCCTACCCCTCCGCACCGCCCCATCGCTCCGCAAGGCCCGCGGGTGCGCAAAGCAGCCTGGGACTTGTAGTCCCGCCCCCGCCCGCCCGCCAGCCGTTGCCCCCGCAGTCCCCGGAGGCAGGGTCCTGCGTCCAGCATCCCTGCGAGTCAGTTGCCTTCGTGCTACCTGTGCTCCAAGTCCTCGCCCTGTGGGGTGAAGCAATGGTCTATTTCTTTACGGCAGTGTAAGTACATGGGAGTGTGCATGTCTCAAAACCCAACGGAGTGTCCACTTAAAACTGCATTTCACACTGCGTAACTTTTTCTAAAAACTTGATTTTTAAATCTCCCTCCTGCCAGAGTCTCAAACTAATATTGTAAAAATGAGACAGCCTATTGCCTGGTGCTGAGTGGGTGCTCAGTAAATATTTGCAGAATTCATGAAAGCCAAAGTGTTTCCTGCCTCTCCAGACCTCAGTTCATTCATTGAATTCAACATATATTTATTGAGCGCCTTCTGAATGCCAGGTACAGTTCTGTATGCCAGGCCCTGGCGGATAGAGCAGTAAACAAACCAATCATTCTCCTGCCCTCGTGGAGATTATATTCTAGTAAGGCAAGGAGGTGATACACAAGAAAGCAGATAAAAGTAATGTGTGCTACGTTGTATAAATGCCGTGATGACATGTAAATATTATCACTTAAAATAGCACCTAGTATTTATCAGTGCTTTATAGATTATTTGAACACTCACAACCTGAGAAGGCAAATCTATTGCTTTGTAATAAAGCAAAGAGAAAGAATGAATAAGACTAAGTATTTGCTAGCAAAACAGGGTGACTATAGTCACAAATAATATAATTGTACGTTTAAAAATAACCAAAAGAGTATAATACAGGCACGGTGGTTCATGCCTGTAATCCCAGCAGTTTGGGAGGCCGAGGTGGGCGCATCACCTGAGGTTGGGAGTTCAAGACCAGCGTGACCAACATGAAGAAACCCCATCCCTACTAAAAATACAAAATTAGCCGGGCATGATGGCCCATGCCTATAATCCCAGCTACTTGGGAGGCTGAGGCAGGAGAATCTCTTGAACCCAGGAGGCGGAGGTTACAGTGAGCCAATATCACACCATTGCACTCCAGCCTGGGCAACAAGAGCGAAACTCTGTCTAAAAAGAAAAAAAAAAGTATAATTGGATTGTTTGTAACACAAAGGATAAATGCTTGAGGTGATGAATACGTTACTTACCCTGATGTGATTATTATGCCTTGCATGCCTGTGTTAAAATGTCTCATGTAATCCATAAACATAAACACCTACTATGTTCCCACAAGAATAAAAAATAAAATAAATAAAAAGCAAAGTGAGAGGGTGAGGTGAGGGGGCAGGTAGCAGGCTGCTCCCCCAGGACAGGCAAGGAGGCTGGTCTGATCCTGTGACGTGGAACACAGACCCAGATGATGGGAGGGACAGGGGCAACCAGAAATGTGGGTGAAGCATTCCAGGGAGAGGGAATAGTGAATACAAGAGCTCACTTTATTCAAAGGAAAAAGGAAGTGTATAGCTACATTTGTGAAGGCCCAAACCAAATATCTCACCCTTATAGATTTGCATGTTTTATACAGACACACTGAAAGACCCAGGAGGAAAACTGACCTTTCTGAGCTAGACAGGGACACAAATTATACTGCCTGTTTAGAGTCACCCAGGTAGGAAGGGCAGGCTCTGGGTCCTCACCCAGCCCGCCGACTCTCTGCAGGCCCTACAGTGGCACCACACAAGTGTTCCTTTCTTGGGGACCGTCAGAGGTCTGGCTGGGGTGGCCACAGCAAGGGCGCTCCCACCTTAGCCGTCTCCACCTGTCTTTGAGCACAGTCAGCACAGTGTTAAGGACTGGACTCTGACTTCCCACTGACCGGATGTGTCTCCTAACTCTGCCACTTACCAGAGACATGACCTTGGGCAAGTGATTTAACCTCTCTAGGCCTCAGTCTCTTCATTTATAAAATGGGGTTGATAAATACAAGTAGCTATCTCATGCTGTTGTTATTGGAAGGGTTATGTGAGAAATGCATATGAAAGTGCTTAGCATGGTGCCTCACACATAGTAAGCACTCAGCACGTATCAGCTGTTATTATTATCATCATACAGTTAACACCGATATCTTCCTCATCAGTCAGCAGATTCAGAGAGGAGGAATCCAACAGTCAGACTGGGCCCAGACAAGGGAGGCCAGAGACTGCGGTGCTGCAGGAATGGAGTGGGCTGCTTTCGGGAGTGAGGGGTCCAAGTTCAATTTGGGCTTCACCGTGTATGTAAAAGGGGCTGTGACTAATTGGCTTGTGGGGTAGGCAGTCAGGGTGGGGTCTGATCTTGAAATACTGTGGGAAAGGGAAGAGCTGGGAGAACCAGGTCTGTATTGCTGTGGTATGCGGAGGCAACAGGACAGGGGAGGGTGTAGCCCATCTCTTCTAGCTCTATCAGTAAGTTATGAAGAAGTGGGGGTGGCCGTGACCTGTGGTCCCAGTGGACAGTACCAAGACCCATGAGGTGTCTCACGGGGACCAACGTCTGCTAGGCCCAAGGAAGGAGGCACGAGCCGCGCTCCTGGACTGAGTCTGGGCTGGCTGGCCAGGGCTAGGCAGATGGGACGGGACAAGGGTGCTGTTTTAAGTGGTAATCATTTACATGTCATCACAGCATTTATACAACATAGCACGCATTACTTTTATCTGCTTTCTTGTGTGTCACCTCCCTGCCTTACTAGAATATAATCTTCATGAGGGCAGGAGAATGACTGGTTTGTTCAATACTGTATCCGCCAGGGCCTGGCATACAGAACCGTACTTGCTGTCTGTGCCCCTCAGTGGGCAAGCTAGACTTCAGCCTGGATCCCCTACACCTGAGCCCCTAGTCCTTCCCTGGTCACCCAGCACAGACGAGCTGGGGCCATTTTAAAGTGCTTGCAGGGCTGGGCGTGGTGGCTCACGCCTGTGATCCCAGCACTTTGGGAGGCCAAGGAGGGCAGATCACAAGGTCAGGAGTTTGAGACCAGCCTGGCCAACATGGTGAAACCCAATCTCTACTAAAAATAGGAAAATTAGCCAGGCGCGGTGGCAGGTGCCTATAATCCCGGCTACTCGGGAGGCCGAGGCAGGAGAATCGCTTGAGTCTGGGAGGAGGAGGTTGCAGTGAACCAAGATCGTGCCACTGCACTCCAGCCTGGCAACAGAGCAAGGCTCTGTCTCAAAAAAAATAAATAAATAAAAATAAATAAAATGCTTGTAGGCCACTGCTCTCTTCCTTCCGGAGGCCACACCTTACATCATATCAAATATATTAAAATACCCTACATCCCATAGTAAACATATACATAATTTTTGCTATAAAAATGTTTTCAGGAATATCCATAATTGTGCTCTTGATATTATCTGAGTTTTCATTTTGATTTTTAATTGGCTGATTTCTGGGCAATCATCATGTCTATGTGGGAATTTTGGCCAAGTGAGAGAAACCTAACCTAGAAATTATTCTCAAATGTAATGACCCTTTTTTTTTTTTTTTTTTTTTGAGATGGGTCTCATTGTGTCACCCAGGCTGCTGGAGTGCAGTGACGCTACCTCGGCTCACTGTAACCTCCCCCTCCTGGGCTCAAGCTATCCTCCCACCTCAGCCTCCTAAGTAGCTGGAACCACAGGTGTGCGCAGCACCATGCTCAGCTAATTTTTGTATTTTTTGTAGAGATAGGTCTTTGCCATGTTGCCCAGGCTGATCTCAAACTCCTGGTCTCAAGTGATCCTCCCACCTTGGCCTCCCAGAGTGCTGGGATTAAGGCATGAGCCATGGTACCCAGCTCTGTTATGACATTTTTATGATGGCTATAAAGGTGACATGTTACATGTGTAGATGTTTAATTAGATGTTCATTAATTCTAATTTTGCTGTTTTTCTTGGGTTTTAGAGCCAATACATTTTTCTTAGGCCACAAACATTTCACAGGCCCCTTGAGCAGCCAGGCCCAGGCACTGAACCTTTTAGTATACTAGGGGATAAACTGGCCTGGCCCCTGCCTCAGTCTCGCCAGGTTCAGAATATGGCCGTCTGAGGAGCCTGCACAGACACAGGCCTGAGTCCCCAGTGAGAATTGTAAAGTATGGAAGCCTCAAGGCCAACAGCAATGTCTCAGGAGGGTCCCCTGGAGGGCCCTGAGTCTCTGTTTACCCGACCAGGCTTGGGAAGTGGCCCAAGCCTTCCAAGGATCCCTAGAGCCTCCAGAATCAACCCTAAAACCCTCTTGACTCTCTAGACCTCCTCCAGGCCCCTCTTCCCCACTGACTCTCTCAAGGCCCTGCTGGAATGCTTTTTATTTCATGAACAAACCCTTCTCTCCTCATTCCTAGGGCCATGAGCTGAGGAGAACTAGGCAATGGGGCTTTATCTCATCTCTCTTAGTACCTCCATTTTCAATTTGGACAATGTTTATAGTTTATGTAAATAAATATAGCTTCAGTTCTTCCCAAGGGCCTCCTCCATGGAAATGTTGGGGCTGTCTCTGGTGGTTCCTAATTCCCTAGAACCTTTGTAAATGGTTTGTTGACTTTTGCAGTTCCTGAGGTCTCTTATATTAAACAGCAATGTCCTGTGGTCAGGGCCAGCTTTGTACAGCCTGTGTACCTCCCCTGCATCTAGTACAGGCATGAGAGGTGTTGAAGGGTCTGCCCTGCATGCCCATTTAAGCCCCTGCTTCCTCGAGCCTTCCAGGAACCCAGTGACCAGAAGGAAGCAGCCACCCAGGAGGAAGTAGCTGGTGTTTATTGAAAAGGGGAAATTTGGGCAGTAAACTTGCTCCTACATGGCCAGCCTCTGGGAAAACCCTAGGGGAATACAGAGCCAGAGACTCATCCTAGGTCAGTCTCCCCAGAGGTGGAAGCATGTGTCCAGAGGCCTCTGAAGAAGCATTCACTGCACACTGCCTTTGTAACTGCCAGACCCCAGGGAGACGGAGCTGGCCGAGATACTGACCTC